TTTTTTTTTTTTTTTTTTCTTTTTGGAGATTATTTATTTTATTGTTCTCAAAATATTTTGAGAGATGTCCTTTGAATTTGTTGGATCTATAGTGTAAAAATTACACGGGAATCCTACGAACTGATATGTATTTTCAGTTCTTACAAATAATCTAAAAATAGAAAATTACAATTGAACTGAAAATTAAATTACAACAGAAAACGGAAAAATTTTAGCCGAGGCGAGTAAAACTCTTTCCGCAAGAAGAATACGCCCCGTGTGGCTGCTAACGGTTAAGGCGTAACTTCCCCAAAGATACAACGACAAACGTCTCTAAATCTGTAGCACACCAGATTTACGAGCTCCGGCGAACTGTAATGGAGTCGAGAGTTGAGCACTTAAAATATAAATAAAATATCTCTCTTTTTGTTATTTTTATAACAAATAAATATTTCTGTTTTTCTTTTCTCCTCTTTATTTCTTCCTTCTCTTTTTCTCTTATCTCGCCACTCCTTCCTTTGTAAGGCCATCTATTTATAGATTGAGCAATTAGCAGAATTCTTCATACGCCTTCAGCAAAATTAATTGGCCAATTAAAGTCAAATGGATGGATAGATTGGCATATAGTGGTTGGAATATAGTGGTTAAGAGATTAATAAATTTGGTTGTAGGACATTTAATAAGTCAACACCCAACCACCTTACAAATTAATTGGTTGGCCATCTTCATACAACTAATATCCCACCGCCTCCAATATTTAATACACTCACAATTATAACAATCCCCCACATGAGTGTAAATTAAATATATTCATACTAGTGTGCTCAATCCTCATAAAACTCTATTGCATCAGAAAAGGTAGCTTTTGGCTTTGAACCTTTCTTAGTAAACATCATCGGATGTACTGGTGGCCTAGTGGACATAATGCCTTGAACTATTCCTCCATAGTGTACACCGAGACAATGACATTCACAAAATAGAGTCTTAACTCCATTTCATTCTATCGTTGTGTCCGTTTTGACCATGGACAACACAATGGATTCATAAGTGTTTACATTTGAAGCGGCCCACACTTCACACTTATATAGGTGACCTCCCTATCAAGAGTATCCTGTCATACTCCACCTTTACAAGGTTAGGGATTCATTAAAAGTCCACATGACTTACCCTCACCACAATCAACAGGTAATCTTGCACTTGGAATGCTCTAGGGAATAGCTATGGACATTCATATGTTCCAAGTGCTCAACTGAATTTTCATAGCTTAGTTTTCCCTTTGAACCAAGTTTGTGGGATTTCCACTCAACATGGTAGGGTTACCACTATGATCATTCTTTACATTGTGGATTTTTAAGCCCATTCCCTCCAGCAAAACTGTCAATTGGTCTTTATTCAATCCTTTCGTCAAAGGATCAGCCAAATTTTCCTTAGACTTCACATAGTCAATGGAAATAATACCATTAGTGATCAATTGACGTACGGTATTATGTCTACGACGAATATGTCTAGACTTACCGTTATACAAGTTGCTTTGCGCCCTACCTATAGCAGCTTGGCTATCACAGTGAATCATCACAGGCGGCAAAGTCTTATCCCAACATGGAATATCAGATAAAAAATTTCTAAGCCACTCGGCTTCTTCACCAGCTTTATCTAAAGCGACGAACTCTGATTCCATCGTTGACCGAGTTATACACGTTTGTTTTGTGGATTTCCACGAAACTGCACCTCCTCCAATACAGAAAACATATCCGCTAGTGGAGCGAGAATCTCTCGAATCTGATATCCAGCTTGCATCACAGTACCCTCAAGTACGGCTGGATATCTCGAGTATTTGAGCCCGTATTCAAGGGTGTACCTCAAGTACTTAAGTACCCTTCTTAAAGCATTCCAGTGCTCATGACTGGGATTGCTCGTAAATCTGCTCAACTTATTCACCGGATAGGCCAAGTCTGGTCGTGTACAATTCGTCAAGTACATCAGACTCCTTATTATCCGTGAATATTCCAACTGAGCCACTGGTTGACCTTTGTTGACTTCCAGATTTATACTGAAATCAAGGGGTGTCTTACACCTAGACTGTGCACCGTCATAGGTATCAAATTTCTTGAGCACTTTCTCTAAATAATGAGATTGTGACAAGACAATTCTATCTTGGGTTCTGATAATTCTTATTCCAAGAATAACATCAGCCAAACTCATATCTT